ACATGAGCTATTATAGATGTCTTTAAACACCATTCTGATTTTTCTCTTACATTTACTTGATGGACAGTTTGGGAAGGCATCTGTTGTTCAACTGTCTCAGAACCAGGGTACCATACTTCTTTTGCCTCCCATGGCCATTGGTCTCCCATATTTGTGTCTCCACATACAAAGCAGTTAGTTATATTAAGACTACCTGCAATATTCTCAGCCAAATCAATAAACAAGTTCTTGGGAAATTGTATCCTCAACACTCATCTCCTCATAAAAGGAATGGAATACCTGATGAGTCTGAGCAACTGTTGTCTTGGTTTCAAGACCTACATATATTATGGCTCCTGGATCTGCTCCTGTACCATGTATCTGTAACCCAAAGAGATTCCCAAACTTGTCAGTGAAGTGCTGTGGATTAAAAATGGTCATATGCACGGGGTTACACTCCATAGTTTTACAATACGGTGTAGTGGGCAACCTTTGGATAATCATATCTTGATCTACTGTTTTTCCCCAGGTCGCCCAACCTACACATGACCAATATGGACAGAAGTTAAAGTCTCTATTTGGGCAATCAGGATCAGTAGATCTTTTGCTAGGGCATAAATACTTATCGTTAAACCCATAAGTCCATTCCCATTTAAGATTACCGCATACATTCCAAGGTTTTCTGCTACCCGAAATCACCTTACATGCATCAAATAATAGAATACCCGTGGAATGTATGGTGCGTATCACAGACCTATTTATTAATGTCCCCGAATTACCAACCAAATTGTATGGGGTTGGAATTGGGGATATCGGTCGACACACACTATAATCGGTATCTAAGTACTACACCTAGACACAGATCCTCTACATTCATATTGTGAGTGCCAAATAAGAGTTTTATATTTGGTTATCTGTTTTCGTAGTCTTAATACAACTAACACAGCTTGGAATATCCTCACCTTTACCTACCTGAAAAATTATAAAAATACTAAAACATATAACTAAACACATCAATCTTGTGATCCTCATCCTGTTCTTCGACCGTGCGACGGCACCTCAGCTTCCCACTTGTGAGGGCTGCAAGGATTGTTGTCCTTCTGATCCTCACTTACCTTCACAGAGGTCCCTTTGAGACAATCTGACTATGACAAGTAGGCAGGTGGTCAGACTTTATTATGGCCGTCAAAACACCTACTTGCTGATCTCCGATGATGTTTTCAACCACGATACTTCAAAAATCACCTCGTACTTCTCAAGTCACACTCAATCCGACTGGGTTATGTGCTTCAACAGGATCTTGCAAGGATTCTCAGGATCTGGAGTAGCTTGCCAGGAATCTGCCGCTGGTTTAACCCTAGAGTGATGGATCCAAAGAGTCACCTCTGCCACCTTTACAGCTGTTGAGGTAGATAAAAGAACAACATACAAAGGCTAACAGGATATACCCCAAGCTTTAACTCAATATGTAGGTGGGATGTTACGAGCAAGTCCTGGAGGATTATTTTCTGCCCATAGTCCTGGAATGTCAAATAAAGTTCCATCACTCTTAGGGTTTGCATTTGTCATTACAGAATAGAAATGCCATTCTTCTTCTTTTGGCACCAATACCGCTATCATGCCTGGTGATTTATTAAATGAGACGTTGATCCATTAGGTAGAAAAGTTATCTGAGCTTGAAGCTTTGATAATAGATCTTGTCCTAGAAGTTGAACTGGACACTCCGGCATATGTAGGAACTGGTGCTTAACAAAATGGCCTCCTAGAATTCAAGTACAACTCCTGAGAATCGGTCTAGCAGCGCTTTTCCCAGTAGCTCCTATCCTTCTTTCTGGAAGGAGTAGCTACCAATTTGGTCACCACAGAATGCTCAGCACCCGTGTCTATCATGAAAGGACTTCTCTTTCCCCCTATTGTTACGTCGACCAAAGGCTCCGCTCAGCCAAGGGGGATGGAGCCCGGTCGGTATCAATAGTCCTCCATGACTGTATCAGAAAATCTCTATTTTCCCTATCCCTTGATCTCTGGGTAGGGGGATAATATCTATCTCCCTGATTCATACACCTTATTTGCAACCTCCATTAACTGTGATATGGACATCCCTGCAAATCCCTCTAACGTTTGTAACTTTCATTTAATATCACTCTGGGACTGGCTTGCATAGGCTGAATTAACATTCGGGAGTTTTCAGAGGCTTTAGGATTGAAAGGAGTGTACAATCTGTATGACTCAAGCAGTCTCTCATAAAAGGCACTAGGTGACTCATTTGTTTTCTGCAACACTTCAGCCGTCCTGGACATATTAATTGCCTTTTTTTCCCACCTGCCTTCAGGCCAGTAATAATGGCTTGCTGATAGGCCTTTAAATGGGGCATGTCAGCGCCATTAATGTTCCACTTTGGATCGGTATTGGGAAAATAGGCAGTGGCCCATGCGACTGGATTAGCCTGGTTTTGAATACGGGCTTCCTCAAGTGCCTTAATGGCCGCTTGATTAATCCTAGTCCTTTCCTAACAATTAAACAAGGTTAATAATAGCTGCTGACAATCAGCCCAGGTGGGATTGTGGGTCTGTATAATAGATGTGACCAAGTCCGTCATGGCTTGAGGTTTTTCTGTGTATGAGGAATTATGGGTCTTCCAGTTAAACAAGTCGGTCGTGGTGAAGGGGACATAAACACATACATGGCGGCCTGCTGTAGTTGACCATTACCATCAACATGTAGTTGGCCAGGAGTAAGCCGAAGTGGCATTTGTAAATGTTGGGATGGAAGGGTGCCAGTCAGTTGTCGGGTTAGTATGGGACTTCGGTAAGGTTGCTTAATAACAGGTTCCGGTCTAAGAGTAGTAAGATAGGTGGAAGGGGGTGAGTTAACTTTACTGATCAGCATTAGGTGGATAAAAAAAAAAAAATATGTTAAACCAAAAACCTACCAGTAGGTGTCACCAAAGGGTAAGTAATTATATCAAAATAGTCTCTATGGGTCTAATAATAAAACTTAGCTTTTTACGTCATGTATTTATACCTAAAATAAAACCTTATAACAAGAAATATTAAAATATGGTAAGCAGTCCTACTTCTGTCTGTTGTAAACGGTCATTAGTATTTTAAACAATGTAAGTCAATGTAACTCCCGAAGATGGCCAGTAGGTGGCCCTAGAGTGCTTCTAAGGTAAATTAAGCATCTCAGTTTGTATTTTAGTAAAGGGGATATTTTGAACAGGGGGGCCCAACCAGTAACCAGTAGCAAAAAAAGGATAAAAATAGAAAATTGTTTCCATACTTACCGTTATTTTCTTTTCCTGGCTATTATACATGGCAGCATCACATATTGGTAAGCTCCTCCTCCCAGCTGTCAGGACAGGAATAATTAAACAATTAAATCCAATAAAAGCCCCCTCCCCTGTAGACCCCTCAGTCTTGTTAAATAGCCCCAGTTGAAGAATCCAGAATGGAGGGAGCGTGATGTTGCCATGTATAATAGCCAGGAAAAGAAAATAACGGTAAGTATGGAAACAATTTTCTACTTTCCTGCCCATACATGGCAGCATCACATATGGGTATTACCCAAGCTCTGAAGAAGGGTGGGGTCTTAACAAATGGTAGTGAATACAGTAAGCGTTATTGATGCTGAAAATTTCAAACATTTATTCATTATTGCCTGCCACTGAAGGAAGAACACCCTTCCCAAAGCGGGCCTCGTTTGAGGAAGACAAATCCAGTTTGTAGTGGTTGACAAACGTTATCGGAGAGGACCATGTAGCTGCCTTACAGAGGTCCTCAACCGGCACCTCTTGAAGCCCATGAAGTAGCGAGCTTTCTTGTTGAGTGTGGTTTGATGACACACGGCACCTGATGACCTTGGGAAGTGTAAGCCCTTTTTATTACTAGAGAAAGCCATCTTCTCAATGTTGTAGTGGATGCTGCTTCTCCTTTTTTACTGCCTGTAACGGACCGTTTTGCACACAAGGGGTAAAAACCGTTTAGGCGATCGGCCCCCTTTCCAGAGATCCAGGCACAGCTACTGCAGAACACCAAAACTCACGAACTGGATACAAAATAGCACTCCAACTCCCGAACTGGAACCTCCCAAATAGCTGCTAGCAGACGAACAGGAAAAGCAGACGAACAGCTTACACTCCTGGCAATCAGTCTCTAACAGCATACAGTGAATCCCCCCAAGAACGAGACAAGGCTCCGTGTTGAGGGTCAAGCAGTGGTCTGAGGTGCTGGCACACCCAGCCTGGTTTTTATTACAGTGTTTCAAATACAGGACCACCCACAGGGAGGGATAAAACAACCAATCATATCACAGTTACATCCCACATATTCCCTCCCCTTATCCTGAGAGGAAACTCAATTATACAAACAGTTAAAACATACTTTCTACCCAACTTTCATAACTCCAAAACCATACATCACATTCACATAAAATTACATATTCTCAATCAATCCATTAAGGGGAACAACATATTCAAAAATGGCACAAATCAGACAAGGGGTTCAACAGTTAGTAAAAAGTCCTTTGTGACTAAATGAAGCATGGCTTTCTGGCCCAAACCAGTTTCAGAGTCTTCTATCCTGGAGATAAGTAATTGAATTATCTCCCAGGACAGACACAAGACTCCATTAAGCACATGGTTGCAAAAAGACACAAAGCACTTTAAAATACATAAAGTCACATTTATACATAAAACACAGACATTTCACATATCCCCAGATAGCTCAGGTCTGAGCGCACATTATTAAGTGAATGGCGCTCGGACCACACAAATACAGTTTAATCACCATGGAGCCAAAGTCTTTACAGTCAGTTTCATACGAATGGGCTCCATGGGATTCCCATCTGGGGTATAACACATTCAAACAAATCTACTGAAACCCAGGCAGAAAAGCACGAATACAGCTTTTCTGCAGGCAAAAATAAAGTCTTTTAAAAGGGGGCCATAGTCCAAAGGCAGCAGGCGAGCAACCAGGCTTCTCCAATGCAATGTGGCGAGATTGGTCTCGTCACACTGCCTGAGGGCAGAATAAAAAGCTTGTCTGACTTTCTGAAGTCCTTTGATCTCAGTAAGTAGACCTTTAGGCATCTCATCACATCCAGTTTGCTCCATTCTACTTCTTCTTCGTTAGTCGGATTCGGAAAGAATGAAGGTAGAACAATTTCTTGTTGAATGTGGAATCTGGAAACTACTTTCGGAAGGAAGTCAAGTTTAGTAACCAGCACCACCCTATTCTGATGGAACACAGTATAAGTGTCAGGGTGGCGGTCCGGTGCCCAGGACCCAGACACTGTCCGGGCGGCGGTGCGAGGACCGCACCGCCTGATGTTCAGAGTAGGAGTCACAGTGTGGAGGAGGATTAGCAGGGTCTGGTGCAGGATAACTGCACACCCCCTGGTGTTGAGCACCAGCGTTTGTGCAGCCACAACCAGAACCCTGATGCAGCTTCAGTGGATCCCAGAGACTAGGAGCAGGAATTAAGCATACCTCCCAGAGCTGTATAGGCAGGCTCTGCAACAGATTTGTATCCAGTACAGAAACAAGGCAAGACTAGAGATAGGCACCATACATGAAAACAAGACAAAACTAGGAGAACCCAGAACTGGAGCAGAACAGAAAGTAGAACCCAGAACATGTACACAAGACATGAGGAAAACAAGAACATAACATGACTGGACAGGACTGTACATGGACTGGGATTACAAAATAAAACAAAACAAGATATAATAGGCAAAACAAGAGGAGACATAACTAAGCACTATATATGAAAAGTATGGGGATTTAGTTACATTACATGATCATACATACTGCCTGCCAAAACGCCAATGTACCCCATATTCGGCAGGTCCTACACTGCCTAATGTTCGCCAAAAGAACCATACTAAACCACAATAGCACTTACCTGCAAGAAAGGGCAGAGACATGAAACATTGCTGCAGGTCCAGACTGAAACAAAAGGAAAATGGAAAACAAACGGGTGTGGCAACATAAAACAAACATTTAAATGAATCCAAGAGACTGGGAAATCTAGGGACGGAATTTAAGAATGAACCCAGAAACACAGCATAAAGAAAACCAGACATAGAATAGAAAACCAGAAAACCAAGAAAAACTAAACAAGAATTGTAAAAAGAGTACTGGATACCAGAAGCCATAGCCAGAATGATCCGCAGCGAGGAACAGGATGTGACAATAAGGTTCTTCAGAGCACAATGCTTGGATCTCTGATACTCTTCTGGTCAATGTAATAGCTACTAGGAATAGAGTTTTCATGGTGAGTAAGTAAATTCCAATTTCTTCCAGTGGCTCAAACGGGACTTTAATGAGAGCATTAAGTACTAGAGGTAAGTCCCAAGGAGGTGCCAACTGTTTGGTAGATGGTCTAGTCCTCAAAACTGCTCTAAAAAATCTCATTATGAGAGGATCCAGAGCCCATCTGGAATTTGTCATGGCTGAAATTGCCAAAACGTGGACTATCAAAGTGCTCAGACTAAGTCCTTTATCCAGACCCTCTTGAAGGAAGTTCAGGATGTCTGCTACACAAGGTGCATCATAAGGTATTCCCTTATTCACCATCCACGAACAGAACTTTCCCTGTATTTTATAGTAGGATGCTGACGTAGAGCATTTCCTGGATCTTAGTAGGGTATTAGAGACAGATTCTAACAGACCCGATTTCAAGAGGTTGTTTTTCTCAAGAACCATGCCGCTAACTGAAGTGACTGGGGTTCTGGATGCACCGCTGGACCCTGGACAAGCAAATCCCCTCTCAGAGGAAGTATTATTGGGACTCTTTGGCTCATTCGTAATAGGAGCGGAAACCAAGGTCTCCTCGGCCATGATGGGATGATTGCGATCACTGTGCAATTTTCCTTCCAAATTTTCCTCAGTACTTTGCTGATTAGTGGTATTGGTGGAAAAATGTAAGCCAGTTTGAACTCCCACTTTTGAGATAGGGCATCCTGGGATTCGGCTTGGTTGTCTTTCCATCTCAAGTAGAATCTGGTTGTTTGCACGTTCCTCGTCGTGGCCATCAAGTCTATTTGCGATGTCCCCTATGTCCTTACTACCTGGAGGAAGACTTCCCTGTTTAGAGACCATTCCCCTGGCTCCATACTTGCTCTGCTCAGGAAATCTGCTAAAGTATTTTCTGTTCCCGGTAAGTATACTGCTTTCAGGTCTTTCAGGTGAATCATGGACCAATGCATAATCGGTTGTAGTTGTGAAAGCAGCTGATGGCTCTTCGTGCCTCCTTGGTGGTTCAGGTAGGCAGCAACCACCCTGTTGTCTGTTCTTACCAGCAGCCTCTTCCCCTTCAGGTAAGTTGCAAAAGACATCAGTGCTTTGAAGACTGCCCTCATCTCCAGAATGTTGGAGTGAAGAAGACTGGTCTGGTAGTTCCATACTCCTTGCGCAACAAGGTTCTTGTAGTGAGCTCCCCATCCTCTTGTACTTGCATCTGTAGTAATTACTTCCCATTGGGGATCTTCCATGGGGAAACCTTTGGTCAAGTGAAGCATCAGGTCTTGGGGAAGTATAATCCATTGATCCCAGTTCATTGCAGACTTGTTGATCTGTGTGAGGAAATTCATCTGAGCCTGTCTCACCTTCCAATGACCAGACCTATGGTCGACGTGAGGGATCCCAGGACACTCATATAGTCTTTTGCTTGAAGTCTTGTCCTTGGAAGTATTCCTAAAATCTTGCTCTTGATCCGATGTGATCTTTGGAAAGAGAGATAGATGAAGCTACTGTGTCTATATTCGCTCCAAGGAACACTATGTGTCTGGATGGAATGAGATTGCTTTTTTCTCTGTTTGTGAGCCACCCAAATTCTTGTAGTGTTAAGATCACCTCTTCTGTCTGCTGGACTGCTATGTGGTATTCCTGTGCTACTACCAGGACATCGTCTAAGTAGTGGAATACTTGGATTCCTCTTTTTCTTAGGATTGCAATGACCATTTTGAGAACCTTCGAGAATGTTCTCAGTGCCAAACTGAGACCAAATGGCATGCCCTGGACCTGATAGTGTTTCCCCAACAACCATAACCTTAGGAACTTCTGATGTGATGGATGTATCGGGATCTGGTAGTATGCATCTTTCAGGTCTATCAATGTTAGCCAGTCGCCCCGATGTATGGCCTGTTTTATGGATGCGATAGACTCCATCTTGAAAGACATATTCTTGAGGTATAGATTTATTCTCTTCAGGTCCAGAATCAGTCTCCATTTTCCATTTGGTTTGGGAGCCAAAAATACATTCAAATAGAATCCTCTGCATTCCTCGATTCGAGGGACTTGCTTGAGTGAGGGGTCTAGAGGGGAGGTGTCACATCCTGTTCCTTGCTGCGGATCATTCTGGCAATGGCTTCTGGTATCCAGTACTCTTTTTGCTGTCCTTGCTTGGTTTTTCTGGTTTTCTGGTCTATGTCTGGTTTTCTTTATTGCTGGGTTTCTGAGTTCATTCTTATATTCTGTCCCTGGATTTCCCAGTCTCTTTGATTCACTTAAATGTTTGTTTTATGTTGCCACACCCGTTTGTTTTCCACTTTCCTTTTGTTTCAGCTTGGACCTGCAGCAGTGTTTCATGTCTCTGCCCTTTCTTGCAGGTAAGTGCTATTATGGTTTAGTATGGCTGTTTTAGCATGCATTAGGCAGTGTAGGTCCTGCCAGATATGGGGTACATTGGCGTTGTTGGCAAGCTTGTGCAATGTATGATCATATAATGTGACTAAATCCCCATACTTTTTATAATTTGTGCTTAGCTATGTTTCCTCTTGTTTTACCTTGTTTCTCTTGTCTTGTTTTACTTTGTCTTGTAATCCCAGTCCATGTACAGTCATGCCCATGTTATGTTCTTGTTTTCCTCATGTCTTGTGTGCATGTTCTAGGTTATGCTTTCTGTCCTGCTCTGGTTCTGGGTTCTCCTAGTTTTGTCTTGTTTTCATGTATGATGCCTATTTCTAGTCTTGCCCTGATCTCCTAGTTTTGTCTTGTTCTCATGCATGGTGTCTATTTCTAGTCTTGCCTTGCTCTCCTAGTCTTGCCTTGCTTCAGTACTGGATACATCCCTGCTGCAGAGCCTCCCTATTCAGCTCCTGGAAGGTCTGCTTAATTACCTGCTCCTAGTTCCTGGGATCCGCATAAGCTGAATCAGGGTTCTGGTATGTGGCTGCACAAGCGCTGGTGCTCAACACCAGGGGGCGTGCGGTTGCCCTGCACCAGACCCTGCTAATCCTCCTCCACACTGTGACTCCTACTCTGAACATCAGGCATACATGGGTCCCGGTCCACGCACCGCCGCCCGGACAGTGTCTGGGTCCCGGGCACCGGACTGCCACCCTGACAGGAGGGGGCTTTAATTGGATTTAATTTTTTAATTATTCCTGTCCTGAAAGCTGGGAGGAGGAGCTTACCCATATGTGATGCTGCCATGTATGGCCAGGAAAGTATATTCTAGCATCTTATACCATTGATCATTTCTTCCAGTTGTATTTTAGACTGTTACTGTTACTGAAGGCACACAGGGTTATTTCAGTGATTTTGGTACAATGTCAGTGATTTTGGTACAATGTCATTGCAGAGAATTATCTGATCCAATAGACTCTGTTACTGTTATTAAAAAATCTCCTCACAATTTTAATTGTTAATAAAATTCAATGCTAAAATACACTCCTACCAAAAGGGGGTCAGTTCAAAATACAAAGAACCAGTGGGGGTTGGTACAGAAATAGGAGAGCTTGAAACAAAAGAACAGAGTCTGGATTAGGTATGTGGGTAGGCGGGGACAATAGAGCAGGGGGAGTGCAAATACCAGCTATACCAGTATTAGCTTGGGAGGAAGAGTGGGGGAGTGGCTACACCAGCCGCACCTCCTCTGGCTCTGTAGGATGAATAAGGTGGTTGGTAATCAGATGCAAGGGGGGTGTCCAAACTAGGTGGAATTAAGCCCCTAGTGGACAAACTACCATGTGGCTCTATTGTTCCTTATGGCATATATGGTTCCAATTAGGCTGTCTCTCAACAATCTGCTTCCAACCATTGACACACAGAAACCAATCATAGAATTCCGGCCTACTAGTTACAGCCACATGTACATGCTGCACTAAATTTAGGTCAAGACTGCCACATGGAGGCCATGCGGCCACCAGGACAGGCCATTCCCTACTACACAGTGTAGTCAAAGTTTTGGGGACAGCTTTGCACCATAATCACAAGCAGCATTTCCCTTGGAAAAGTTCAAC